GTGCCTTGGGTCCCCATTAAAGACCCCCCCCAGCCCCGTCCCCCAGGCTTAGGGCCTCTTCAACACAGTTTGGTTTGCAATTAGCATTTCAGGAACAAATCTTTTTTCCGGAGTCTCTTCTTGAGTGGCCCATGATCCTTGGGAGGTGGCCCAGGCCCTGCAATTCGGTGCAACAGGAACTGGGAGATGTGTATTGTTTTGAAAGCTGTCTGTGCTTGTTCGTTCTCCTGGCTGATTTCGATTTGATTACACGACTTAATCCTCCCACAGTTCCGGGAGTGTTATCAGAGAAACTGAGATCTCTGGGGCCAGATGATCTTAGGATTTTGGGGGGGCTGTGTGTGTTTCTGTGTAAACTCAACTGGATTTCAGACTACTTCCAGGGATTTGACACATTTCAGTCCTGTTTTTCTTTAAAGTTAAAAAACATATTTTGACAACTTCCTGAAAGAGAAAAATGGTTCAAAAAAAAAAAAAACCTGAAGAACTTTACCATTTAAAGAAGAGGGGCACCCTCAGTTCTCCTCTCCCAGAGGAGGGGGTTCATCTGCATAGCCTCATGCAGAGCAGCAATCATGCCACTGCGAGTCGGGCATGCAGGAGTCCGTCCTCACCGACAGGCTTTCCTGGCGTCTCTGCATGTGTTCTCTTTCTCTTGGTCAGTGGTTTTCCCCCAGAATGACCGTCTCTCCTGTTCCTGCGGACCCCCCACAGGGCCCATGCCACCCCTAAAATCTCAGCAGTATTTCCCCCTTTACTCTTCTTCATTGTTAAGCTTCAAAATATTCTTTAATGAAGATTTGGACAGGGGAGGCCAAGGAAAGGTCGCTCCCTGTCCCAGGCAGCTTCGACCCAAAGAAACAACCCTCTGCAGGGAGCCTTTGCACTGTTCTCTCCGTCTGGGACCATTGCTCTGTCCTTTGTGACCAAGGCTTCTTTCCCAAACCGCTACGACCTCCCTCACCAAAGTGACCTCTGGGCAGTGTGCACCGCTAAAACACACCTTCATAAATTTCACTGTACTTACGTGTCTGTGTTCTAGAGTACAGGCCTGCAGTTTAAGTGTCTGCGAATATATGGACTTTGAGCCTTAAGCCCAGATCCAGAACAGCACTGTGGTTGAAGGATGGGCTTTGGAGCAGACAAATGAGCTTCAATCCTGGCCCGCTACTCAGTATCTCCGCATGTGATACAAAGTACTCATCTGTTCAGAACCTTGGATTCCTCTTCTGTAAAAAAAAAAATGGCAACAGGAAGACCTACTTCATGTGGCCTTTTGGGGGATTATCTGAATGGAATAGGTAGGATGCTCATCCCAGTGCCTAGAGCACGGCCGAAATGCAGTACCCAACAGCCTCTGGTGTCACATATATCGCAATGGGTCTTCTAACTTTGAAAACTTTTAAGCTGAGAAGCCCTCTCAGAAATGAGACCTCAAGCACAGCAGCAATATCCAAAACACAAAAAAGGAGACTTGTTCTGGTGAAAGAGCAAGGGGAGGGGGTCCAAGCTCTGCCGGCTTGCCCCCCCCACCCTGCCCCCTTGTCTGCCCCCCCCACTACTATCCCCACACTCTTCCCTCACAACGGGAAAAAAGCTGACCACATACCCATGAGTGTATACAATTACACATATACAGGCTTCCTAAAGTTTCAGCCTGACAAAGATGAGTAGCAGGTTTTTCAACTTTTGACTCAGACCTTGTGACAATTTTTTTTTTTTAACATACTACCAAGACTTCTGGAAGTTTTTCTGTTTCTTAGTTTTATGTTCCTTTTTTTGAGACGAAAAGTCCTTCAAGCTCTGGGAGTGCATCTCTAAACTCTCTAAATAGCGCCGCAGGATCTTGTATAATAAAGCTGCCATTTTTAGGTAGGCTGGGAAATGTATATATTTACATTTTGAATCAAAGGTGTCCTCATTTCCAGCAGACCGCTAATTTGGAATGGTAAGGTTCATTAATGCACGCAGCACATTTGAATAACCTGTTAGGGAGGGTGAAGAAAAGCTGACCCACTTTTCATTAAGGGTGAGGTGAGCCTTCTCCACAAAGACATGAAAACATACCTAGCTCCTGGCTGGGTTGAAGGCTCAAAGGCTGGAAACTGAAAGAGGAAGGCACTGCTTTATCTCCCCTCTTCCTTTTTTCCAAAATACTTGTTGAGCCCAGGACCCTCTTAATAAATTATTTCTAGAATAGGGTTGGCTTCAGGAGCAAGCTGTAATCAGACAAAAAGGCACAAAACAAAGGCATGCTTACTATTTGAACCAAGAACATCCGTTAGCCTTCGGAGCAGCATCCTGGACACCAGGTGCTCAACAGAAACATGTCAATGATGATGATTTTGATAAATAAAGTCTCCTTTGAAAAATCTCTCCCTTACCAAAAGAGTGAAAAGACAAAACCATGTTTTACCCACTGACAATTGATTTTAGAACCACTGTGCTTTAAATTTCACTAAATGGTTTTAGAACCTCTGTGACATACAAACACGTATCATTAGCAAAGGAAATTTGGCTCCCCCTTTTTTTGATCTAAGAACGTGGGGGCTTTTTCCTAATTTTAAAAGCAGTAAATGTGTTTTAAGTCAGTAAAATATTAAAAATATCAGGAAGATACTAAAAACCCACCTTCCAAAAATAACACCGTCAACATTTGAGTGTTTTTCCTTCATTCTATTATTTGGCCTTTGAGAAGGTTGTAAATTAATCAGGATTTGGTTAAAAACGGAATTGAAGCAATAGATACAGTGTTACCCCTTATAAACTGTTCAGTGGCTTCTCACCTCACTTTGAATCAAACCTGAGTATCTAAGCTTGCCCTACGAGGCTCCACTCAGGGAGCCCCTGCCCTCTCCAGCTGGACCCCATGGCACTCTCCCCACACTCTCTCACTCGGTCGGGGTCGCGGTGGCCTTCTCCCTGGAACACCCTTCAGGTCTCCGCTTCCATGTCATTCCTCCAAGCAGTCTCCTACGTGGGGGCCCTGGCATTATCCTTTGCCCCCTCCCTGCACCTGGGACAGCATATCCCTGTCTGTGTGAGTCTGTGGCAGCTGCGCCACGTCTGACCTGAATCCCTCCTGTGGGGCCTGAGGCATAGTGAGCACTCAGTGGGTCGTGGAGGAGAGAGGGCAGAGTAGAGGGGAGAGGGTGGAGGGGCAGTGCCTGCCTGTCCTTGGCACACAGTAGGCACTGAGCAAATGTATGTTACACAAAGCTAAAGAAACCAGGGAAACCAAATAATACCTTCCCAGGCACATCTATGTGAAACAGGTGGCTCGATGAGCACACTTAAAAGGCATTTGCCCCTAGATGTCACTCTTTTTTTTAAGATTTAATTTATTTATTTGACAGAGACAGACACAGCGAGAGAGGGAACACAAGCAGGGGGAGTGGGAGAGGGAGAGGCAGGCTTCCCGCGGAGCAGGGAGCCCGACGCGGGGCTCGATCCCAGGACCCTGGGATCATGACCTGAGCCGAAGGCAGAAGCTTAAGGACTGAGCCGCCCAGGTGCCCCTAGATGTCACTCTTAAGAAGCGTTTTATAGGAGAGAGTTCTGGAACCCATTCGTTGTGTTACTTTAATCTTGGGAGCCAGCTTTATCAGGCCCTGCCTGGTGTCCACCACTGGCAGTGCGGGCCCCACGCTGGGGAGGCTCAGCCCCGCGCCTGGTCTCCATGCAGAGTCCTGACTTGGGTTGTTAAGAACTGTCTCCGCTGTCATCTTGGATCCCAGGTTCTTTCAACTATTTCTGCCTCAGTTTCTCCAGCAGGGCCCTGCTTGTTAACCTGCCTCTAGGACCGGGGCCCTGCTTCCTCCTGCCATTTGCCTTGCTGGAACCTCAAGTGCTACCCTAACCCCCCGCCACAGGGACCCTAGCATCTGACACTTCTGAGGACTGCGGCCCCTCCCCGGTATTCCCCACTCCAGCCCTCTGACCGCCCTTCCTCTTGTTGGTAACCCTGCGTCTACACTGAGAACTCGCTGTACTTACCACCTGCCAGGCTGCGCTCTCTCAGCCTCCTGCTCTGTCCTCTGGTAGTCACCAGGCCCTGTTTTTCCGTATCCAAGAGAGCACACTAGTTCAACACACACGTACTATCTGCTACATCTCAGGCACCGTGCCAGGCCCGCAGAAGG